AGGCCAGGCCGTGGCGCCCCGAGGCCAGAAAATCTATCTAGTTAACTTCTCAACAACTACACATGACTATGTACACACCAGGTCGTCACTGATCAGCCTTGGATCACAAATACCTTTCCTTTATTAACAACCGGGAAGCGCGGCGTGGCCTTTCCCCCCATCCCAAGGTGAGGCAGGGTGCACCGGCAGGGCCACGAGGTCAGGGACAGCACCGGGAACCCTGGCAGAGCCCCCCCACAGAAGTGCCCGCAGTGTCCCTGGACCAGGACGCGGCAGCACAGGGAAACGCGACACGGCAATCCCCTTCTCTCCCTGCCAACCAGGTGCTGCCACCGCCGCCACTCAGACCTGTCCCCAGTTCCCGAGGGCCTGGCCAGCCTCATCCCTCCTCCCCACCCACCCCAGCTAATGGGATGCCAGGAGTCCTGAGCAGCAGCTGGTGGCCCAATGGCTGAGGGAGCGCATTTTTCCTCGCCACCCCATAGGCTATGGGCCACCCCAAAACGCTTTTATTAATAAGGAGAGATAAGCTCCACTGACCTAAGGTCTTGAGCTAAAGGATCACAAATACCTTTCCACTCTTCGCTAACTAGGAACAGACATGATGAATCATCTCTACAAAGCATGCTCATTTCATTCCCTCCTATGTTCCTTCGTAGTGTCTACTTATTATGATACAGTTTACTAGAGGCTTGTCATCAAAGCCTGCTAGTTCGACTAGGTGAACTTCAGCCACCCTGTTCCTGCAGCTCCCACACATCTGTGCCTGATCTGCTCATCCTGTTTTCCTAGCCTTCCAGAGTCCTCCCTTCATTCTTCTGGCCCACCACCACTTTCAACCCTATTTTCCCATCTTCCCTGCTTCCCTCAGATCTCCTACTCTTCCTTTCCAAACCACTGTTACTTCCACAGCTCCCTCCCAGGGTTCTTTTGCTTGCCGTGCCCCTCTATGATATCAGAGCAGCTCAGCCAATCAGTCCTAGAGCCTTCCCCACCAATACAAAAGCCCTTTGTGCATTACAACACAGATATGTTACATTTGTGCCCTGTCTTCTGTCTGAGGCACCTGGAGTGGTTTTTATCTTTAGTCTTAGATTTGCCTCCTAAACCACACCATGAGCTTCAAACCAAAGTGTGGATCTGGAGTTGGGTTTCGTGCCTCAAACTCAAGCTATTGTATTTCATGGACTCTTTAAGGGCTCCTTGAAGCCTGCTGTGGAAACAAGAAAGAGCTCAAGTTTAAGTTTACTTATTGGTGACAGCCAAAGGACAGTGCAGGCTTAACATAAACAAGAAAGAGAGGGGGCCCCTTGTTCCTATCTCACTTAGGGGCTAGTATAATGCTATCCTGCCCTGGCTGGCACAAACTTGTGCTTCACCTCATTACTTTAACATATGAGACTTTTGTCTTACGTAAAAATGGGCTAAGGAAGGGCTATGCTTTCCCATTTCTCATGGTAAGAGATTAGTGCAACTTAAATTAGTTTTCTCCCCTGTCCACTTCTGCAGATTTTTATTAGAATGCGGCATGCACCAGCTGCCTAGAACTTAACAGCAAGGAAAAGATCCATATGATGGCTGTCATATTGGCTGATATGCTGAAAATGTTAAGCACTAAAAGCAACATCTACAGCTACAGCTAAACAGCCAGGTTATTTGCTGCTAGATTGTGATACAATTCATGTGCTCTCTTACACTGGCTTAAGGAGTTTGGGGGTGTGTGTGTCCATAAAACAGGTGCATTCAACTGATAGCCATGAGACCCTCACCCCAGGGGACCCCCTTTTTTCCTCCATGGTTTGATCCCCTTGTGTACACATGTACACCTGAGTGTGCACCCAGAAACAATAGAAGGAGCCTGAATTAAAGCGATATCAAAAGGCAGTGAGTCATGCCAAAGGAAGAAAGGAATGCAGGGCTGATCCTCCACCAATCATATGTGCAAACCTACCCTAAGAGGGATTCAATTGAGGGCCATTTTCCCCAAGGACCCTGGAGCCTCCTCCCAGGGAAACTGATTATAATTAATAACCCATAATTCCAAAATAATAAGCAAAGGGCCAATCCCAGCCAATGTCTTTCCTATCTAAACAATCAGACAGCAATATTCCAGCCCTTCCCCAGACATGGCAAGTGCCTGCAAACATATCTGATTTCCATATCTCCCCAAGGGAACATTGATGACACTCCAAATGCAAAAGGAAAAAAACTCCTCTTCACAATAAAGACAAAGGTTTCACATACTTGTACCCACCCCGAAGTGCACATTTTTATTATTTTCACCCTTCCCCTCAGCATCCCAGGCTAAGAAGTATAAAAAGTCTCCCCACAAGCTACAAATTTTGCAGCCAGTTTGAAATCATCCTGTTACCCCAGCCTCATGGTTGATCCCTGGACCCTACTGGATCCCAAATTTCTGCTCTGCTGACCTGCTACTGTGCTTTCTGCCTTCAGTTTCATCTCCCAACACAGCTTCTTCATAGCCAGGGACAACCCCACTGCTCTTCACCTGCTTCTCTTCAGGACAGGTTCTTATGTTTCATTTTCCATTACAAATTTATTCCCCTTTAGGTAGGCAGGAGTTTTAAGGACGGGTTTTATGTTTTATTCATTCTACATTTTCAATCCTGTATTTCCTTTTCATTGCCATTCTACTGTATTGCATAGATTATTAATTTTCTTTTTCTGTTAGCAAAATAAAAACCCATTTTCTTTAAGAGTCCTCTCATTTTTGCAAGTGTTGATCTGAATCTGCACCTCTACACACATAGGCAAAACTGATCACAAGTGTTTAAGTGCCCAAAAGTACAAACGTTTGGTCTGTGGGGACAGGGGGATGCCTCTGCATGTTACTGCCCTGACATGTGTATATCGATTTGGGTAACACAACCAGGGAAGAAACTATGGATTGTTCGCTTTCAGGAAGAATTGACTGTACCAGTCCATATACTATAATAATTCCTAACATACAATACCTTTGTTCAGTTCAGGTTTTTCCTTTCTCAATTTCTTTGGTTTATTGTCTCTGTTTCTCTCTTCCCTCCTCCCTCCTCCCCATTTCCCCTTGGCTTTTGGCCTGAAGATTTAGGCATCATTTGAATGGAAAGCTATTAGCTCTGCCTCGTCACCCCATTTTCAGGGCACTAATAACTCATCCCAAGCTCCCTCTCTTGCACACCACTTGTCGACTCTAATAGTTTGATAGATCGAGCGGTTTGGCTTGCTCCTCTGTGCACGGCTGATTCAAGCACGAAGTTGTAATAATTAGCCACATAAATACAAATCCACATAACAAGCACGTGTTTTCTCCATGGACAAATCTGTGCTGGAGCAGCAGGGATCTTACATATTAGGCTATTAGCCAAGCTACATGTGAATAGGTATGTTTCCAAGACTGAAAGAATATAAGACTCTAGATAGGGAGGACAGGGTTCTGTAAGCCAGGAGGAACTGGTGCTGGAAAAACGAGGTCACAGGGGTTTGTAATGAGAATCATCTGCTGAACTATGTGCTCAGTGTCTGAGTCTACAACAGTGGTGTGTTCACAGCACAGCTCTCCCTGCAATCCACTTGGCACAAGATGATTCCCTTAAAGAAGGACCATAGCTCAATGGCAGAGCACATGTTTTGCATGTAGTAACCCTATCTATAGTATCAGGCATCTCAAGTTACATGATAGCAGGGTTGGGAAAGACCTGTGTCCCAGACAGCTGCTACCTGCAGCCATACAATGGGCCAATAGACTGGTCAAGTGAAAGAGCCCCTTATTTTCATAAAAACGCACTCTTTCTTCTGCTTTAACAGAAGAGAGTGTATTATGCATTTTGCACAGTTCACACTGACATGGACCAATCCTCTCTTGTGGTGTAGATGACCAGCAAATCTGAGGATCAATGCAGAATCAGCACTTGAGTACACATGTGCCACTGAATTCATAAGGTCATTAAGTGACGTTCTGTCCCTTTTCAAGATAAACATGAAATTGACCTCTAAAGTAAGACATGTGGCTGCAGTCAATGTTGTTAGCTTTTTTCCTCTTGAGAGTTGGGTTTTAAAAGACACTTAATTTTCTCTAATCCGTTTTGAACTATCTGTATGATCTATGACTGAAATATTCCATATAAAACCCACCAATCGACTCCCTTTATTCTGTCAGCGCAACAGAGATATTGTGTGTATCCTGTGCAAGCAGTCAGAACCTAAAAAGGTTAGTCAAGAATAGAAGAGGGCCAACTCTAAAAATCTAATTATGAAACATACAAAGATATACATGTATTTATTCAACATAAATTAAAATAACAAACAAGGGCCCATTCCTACCTCATATATTTTTGTATGTTTCATAATTAGATTTTTAGAGTTGGCCCTCTTCTATTCTTGACTAACCTTTTTAGGTTCTGAATTCTAGGTTTAGGTTCAGTCTTTTCCCCTTTTTTCTTCTTTGTCCTGTTCAAGCAGTACAGCAAAGCACTCTCAGTGGCCTCTCTTCTGCTTCTGAAGGTTTGCCAGATGATGTGTGAAAAGCCTCCTCACTGATGGCATTTAGGAAGGCTAGTGATGACTTTGTTTTGAAGTGCCTGTGTTGATACGGCTGTAATGGTTTGTGGCTGGGATTAGTTAAGATCCTGTATTTCTAGGACAAACTCCTGCATATTGTTTTTAGCTGTTTTTAAAAGTTTTTTTTAAATTGTAATATATAATATAAGCTGCTTAACTGTATGTCTGTTAATAAAAATATTTCAAAAAAGTGGAGACTAGATTCTGCCCACTTCATACCTTTATTTCTTTTGTAAGAAATAGGTCCTGATGTGTGCGTGGAGCATATCCATTGAATGCCCAAAGTACATAAAATAGACATCCAAATGAATGGAAAAAAATACATTTCATGCAAGTCCCTTGTTTATATTCTCTGCCCTATATTAAGCATTTTGACAGGTTGGATGGAGGCAAAAGTTCTTTAGGTTAGAAAGAAATGCATACATGTTGGATTTTTTCCTTACCTGTGTGTTAATTCGGATGGCCCCAATAGATGGAATTTCAAAGTAATAACCTTTTTAAAAAGGGGATAAAGGAGAAGACAGTGAACCTCAGAAACACATTTCAGCATATTATCTTCACACTCACTTTCAGTACCAGTTCTGCCATGCTATATTGTTAACTAATTCGCATTCAAGAACACCAAATTCAGGCCACAGTCCAGGACAAAGAAATAGAATGCCTCTTAAAGACACTGTACTGGATTGTGATCTCAGTACACAGCTTCACATTTCAAAACCTTATTGACATTGGTCAAATAAGTGTGGTTAGAAACACATTTATAAGATTACGTGTTAAAAAGCCAGAAACTTGTATCAGAATGGAATTCCCCTATTTCATGGATTGTTAATATGAAACTGTCCATGCACATGCACAAACATATAGAAAGAGAAACATTTTCCTGCCTCAAGGAGTTTACAATCCAACAGTTAAATACTAGGCAGAGTTGCACCCTTCAAAAGCCAGTGAGAGTCTCCCAATAGCATCAGACCTCACCAGAGTCTCCCTGTGAGGCCCCTGTTCCCTCCTCCTGCTGAGACTCCTCAAATCTGACCCCCCTTGAAAGCCTAAGTGCAGTGGGGATCCCAAGAATGTGTCTAAAAACCACACCTGGTCTGCCATGACCAAGGTAATTTCTATCATGGAGGCAGGGTATCACTGCAGTGCATAAAGCTCCAAGGCATGCCTAACACAGTCATATCCCTTGCTTTGAGGGATATTTCATCAAGGCACGCAATATGAACCATTTCCAGCTATAGATAGTTGGGCAACCCCTAAATATCACTAATCCAACCCAATAACGTTCAAGTCCAGTGGCACCTTTAAGACCAACAAAGTTTTATTCAAGGTACAATCTTTGTATGTGTGCACACTTCTTCGGATACATTGAAATGGAAGTTATCAGTTCATACATATAGGCAGAGGGTGAGCAGCAATCCTCCAGACATCTGTTTATCTGAAGATGACAACCATATTCTGTCCAATTCTGACTTTTACAACAAACCTTTTAAGAACTAAAATATCCACCAGATGACGTCAAGAGATAGATCAACAAAGCCAGAATGATATCCAGCAAAAGCCTGTTAAAAGCCAGGCCCAAAAGAAACAATAACAGAACATCACTAGTGGTCACATACAACTCTCAACTCAAAACAGTTCAATGCATCATCAACAATTTACAACCTCTAATGAATGACGACAGTTTTCTTTCACAATCACTAGGAGGCAGACCCTTTCTTGCATACAGACAGCTCCCCAATTTTAAACAACTCCTCACCCACAATAATACAACATCTAACTTGAACATGGATACTGAGACCAGAGTTTGCAATAAAATCAGATGCCAACTTTGGTGCCACATACATCCAGATGTGATCACTGGACCTAACAACATCAAATACATCAACTCAGACTCATTCACTTGCTCATCCTCTAACACTGTATATGCCATTAAATGCCAACAATGGCCTTTGGTTTTTTACATAGGGCAAACAGGTCAAACCCTATGCCAAAGGATAAATGGAGACAAATCTGACATCAAGAGTCACAGTACTGAGAGACCTGTAGGAGAACACTTCGACCTTCCAGTACATTCAATTGGTGACCTTAAAGTAGCTGTTTTATCACAAAGGAACTTCAGGAAAAGACTAGAAAAGGAAATTGCTGAGTTACAAGTTATTACAACATTCAGAACAGTGCAATCCCCAGGATTTATCAGGAATATTGGTTTCTTATCTCACTACATATGCTAACCTCATTCAATCCTTACATCTGTATTCTCACCAATCCCTCAGAAGGGCTATATATCCTCTTTATTTTATTTTATTCCTTATTTGGAATAGTAGATTGGAATAGTAGATTGTAACATAATGTAATAGTAGAATGTAATGTAATTTGTAATGGTAGATTGGAAAGCATTTCTCTGGTCTGGGGACAAAGGAGATATACTACACAGCCAATCACCCCATCTCAAAAAAGAGGAAGCTGTAAGGTTGCCTCCACATGTAAGAAGAGACAGATGGAGCATAATGGCAGGGTCTCAGTTAATTACTCTCAGCATTTGGAACCCTGTGGGAACCCTGGCAACTATATGAATTTCTGGTGGGACTGTGTCTACATCCCGGCCTTCTGGCAAGAAGTTGCAGAAGTTATAAGAAAAAACTGTTGATCAAGGAATATCCAGAATACCACAAATGATGCTTTTGGACTTATGGTTCAAATCGAACTTGGAACGCTCCCAACGAGAACTAATTTTCACCTTATTGGCCTCATCGCATCTTACAATTGCATCTAACTGGAAAGAATGCAAACCTCCCTCTATAGCCCTCTGGTATGAGAAAGTCTGGGACCAATTTAATGTGTGTAAACTTTCTAATTTGATAAATCATACAGAAACAGCTACATTGTACAGCAATTTTGAGTTAACTTGGCTCCTGGTTCTTCAATATATGGCAGATAATGATATTTTGCTGACCAACCCAAGTTGAAATTTTGTATTCCCCTTTTTATCACTTTATGTTTATTTTTTACTCTTTAATATTTGCATCAACATTTTTATTAATAAATTCAAAAAATTACTCTCAGCATTCCACAATTGAAAAGAGTACATCTGCCCATCAATCTCCGATTTTGATATATTTATTTCCTTCACTATGTTCCCCCCCTCCAAAATTAATCCCAAACCAATGGTAACTATATAAACTAAGCTTGTTATTCCTGTTTGGTCCTTGAATCTGTTCAACATCTTCATTCTGCTTTATGATAATTTGCTGCTCACCCTCTGTCTATATGTGTGAACTGGTAACTTCCATTTCAGTGTATCTGAGGAAGTGTGCTTGCACACGAAAGCTCATACTTTGAATAAAACTTTGTTGGTCTTAAAGGTACCACTGGACTCTATTCTGCTGCTTCAGACCTACTCGGCTGCCCCACCTGAAGCTAATCCAACCCAGTCATTGATAAAGACAGCCTAGCATCTGACCCACATGGGATTAGCCATCAAACCCATTTTTTATGTCCAGTCCTTGATCGATATGCTAAAACTGTCCAGCAGTTGGTCCACTTTGGAATGTCAGGTATTCCTTCCTAAATCTTACCACCAGATTTTGATAGCAGTTACCTTCAAACTGCATAGTCAAATTCAAACTTCATATTTGGACCAATCCTGTCCCTGGGAAAGAGGGGTCTCATGTCTATCTTTGGGCCCCTTCCCCATAAAAAAATTCCAAGTCGGTGGGAAGTGTGCCAGGTCCTCCCACTACCTGAATACCCCTGCAACTGCTTCGCAGGCCCCTCTTCTCTCCTCAACACTCTGCTGCATGGACTCCCTGCAGTCCTCCTTATCCCCCTTGGATCAGGTAGTATCACCCGCCCATCAAACGTCCCCTCTCCTTGTCTCCTCTCTTTTCCTTACCCTGTCCTCACAGTATGTGTGCACATGCGCACATGCATTGGTGGTGGTCTTAAGGGTTTCTTGTTTTGGTTTGCTCCTAGTGGTGCATGTTTGATTGTTAGTAAATAAATGTTCATTGAATCGGTTGGACTCTGTCCCTTTTCCTTCGGGAATATTGCTTTAGAATAAAACCTCCACATACATAGACAAAAGATCCCTTGTTTTCCCTCTGGAGATCCTTTAACAGCTAATTCCCATTTCTCTGGGTCCAGTTCAGGTAACATTCCAATAGCATCAGACACCCTCCCCCCCACAACCATGTGCTTTCCACTGGCAGTTGGCAGGATCTGTAAGGACGATTTTTCTAGCACAGGGAGATTTTCTTCAAGTGAGGAAATCTCTAACTCATTTCTCCTTTAGTTAAATGCTCCCAATGCAACTTGGCCAGAGGCCTGATCTCTCTTTCAAGTACTATTAGAATATGTATGCCAGATATCAGGTGTGGAACCATCCATCACACAGCATCTCCTTTGGAAAAATGTGGAAGGTTCTGCAGCTGCTGCCCAGGATGGCTGCTATAGCCTTCTACATCTTTTCAAGTGGAGCACAGCATGATGGCAAAGGGCACAAGGCAGGCCACAGTGTAGTAATCATCATCATCATCACTATGCTCCATTAAGCATCCAAGGCTCTCAAAACACCTGTCTGTTCTCCTATCCACCAATCTATAGCATCCATCCATCCAGCACATCAGCTGACTACCATACAACTATCTCCTGATCTATATCCTCTGTAAACATACAGGGTTATCGATCTCTCTGTCAGAATCTGCTTACTTAGACAGCATATCTGTTTAGTAATCCACATATGAATGCTACAGTTACAGATGATGTTTTAATCTCTCTCTCTCTGTCTTCCCCTCTGACTTCACTCACTTACACGAGTGGTGGGGGTTCAGGAAGAAAAAGTAATCAGATGGTTAAAAGTGTCAGATGCCTAAACATGATCAGATGGTGTGTGGTCTAGGTGAGATGGAGAAGAAAAAGAGGGGGAGAGGCTAGGAATTGGCATATGACAACTGAGGGTGGGCTAGATGGTGAAGGGCAGGCAATCAAATTTCAGCATTTAAACATGTCTGCCATGACATGAGCTCCAGCCTTGGGCAAGTGCTAATAATAATTGTATGCATTGTGTGGAGAATAGCCAGGAGATCCTAAGATTGCCTGGCAGGCAGAAGTTCTAGCTCTTTAGCATTAGACACTACTAGGTGGTTTGCTAGACTTGTTTTTTTAAGGCAAGAGACATTTCAGAGATGAAATTAGGGTTGCCAAGTCCATCTTCCACTGCCAGCGGGGGGCTTTGGGGGTGTTCCTGGAGGGAGCGGGGCATTTTATGCTAGGAATTGGCATATGACAACTGAGGGTGGCCCGGCAATCAAATTTCAGCATTTAAACATGTCTGCCATGACATGAGCTCCAGCCTTGGGCAAGTGCTAATAATAATTGTATGCATTGTGTGGAGAATAGCCAGGAGATCCTAAGATTGTCTGGCAGGCAGAAGTTCTAGCTCTTTAGCATTAGACACTACTAGGTGGTTTGCTAGACTTGTTTTTTTAAGGCAAG